CACAAAAGTCTTCAGTATTTGTTCAAGCAAAAGGAGTTGAATTTGAGACAGAGGAGGTGGTTGGAGTTGTTGAAAGATTATGATATCACTATCTTATATTATCCAGGAAAGGCTAATGTAGTAGCCGTTGCTTTGAGTAAGAAGTTAGCCAGTATGGGAAGTCTTGCTTATAATCCGGTGGGTGAGAGACCACTTACTTTGGATGTTCAGGCTTTGGCCAATCAGCTCGTGAGGTTGGATATTTCTGAGCCCAACCGTGTGTTAGCTTGCATAGTCGCTCGTTCTTCATTATTGGAGCGTATCCGTGAGCGGCAGTATGATGATACCCATTTGTGTGTCCTTAGAGACACGGTGTAGCACGGAGGTGCCAAGCAGGTTACCATAGGTGATAATGGAGTTTGAGATTGCAGGGTCGGGTTTGTGTGCCTAATGTGGATGGTCTTCGAGAGTTGATCTTAGAGGAGACCCATAGCTCCCGGTACTCTATTCATCCGGGCACCGCGAAGATGTATTAGGATTTGCGGCAGCATTATTTGTGGCGGAGGATGAAGAAGGATATCGTTGCATATGTGGCTCGGTGTTTGAATTGTCAGCAGGTTAAGTATAAGCATCAGAGGCCTGGTGGTTTGTTCCAGAAGATTGAGATTCCTGAGTGGAAGTGGGAGCGAATCACTATGGACTTCGTTGTTGGACTCCCACGGACTTAGAGGAGGTTCGATGCAGTGTGGGTTACTGTTGATAGGCTGACCAAGTCAGCACATTTCATTCCTGTGGCAGCCTCCTATTCTTCCGAGATGTTAGCTGAGATCTATATCCGGGAGATTGTTCGTCTTCAAGGTGTGCCTGAGTCTATTATTTCGGACCGAGGTACGCAGTTTACTTCACATTTCTGGAAAGCAGTTCAGCGAGAGTTGGGAACACAGTTTGAGTTTAGCACAACATTTCATCCTCAGACAGACGGGCAGTCCGAGCGGACCATTCAGATTTTGGAGGATATGCTCCGAGCTTGTGTCATTGAATTTGGAGGCTCGTGGGATCAGGTTTTGACTTTAGCAGAGTTTGCCTACAATAACAGCTACCCGTCGTGTATCCAGATGGCTCCTTATGAGGCTTTATATAGTAGGCAGTGTTGGTCTCTGGTTGGATGGTTTGAGCCGAGAAAGGCTCGGTTGTTGGGTACGGATCTAGTTCAGGAGGCCTTGGATAAGGTCAAGATGATTCAGGATAGGCTTCGTACAGCTCAGTCCAGGCAAAAGAGTTATGCTGACCGCAAGGTTTGAGATTTGGCTTTCATGGTCGGTGAGCGGGTATTGCTCTGAGTGTCGCGTATAAATGGCGTGAGATTTGGGAAGAAGGGAAAGCTTAGCCCTAGGTTCATTGGTCCGTTTGAGATTCTTGATCGAGTGGGAGAGGTGGCTTATAGACTTGCATTACCGCCGAGCTTATCAGCCATGCATCCAGTGTTTCATGTGTCCATGCTTCGGAAGTATCACAGCGATCCATCTCACGTGTTAGATTTCAGCACTGTCCAGTTGGACAAGGACTTGTCTTATGAGAAGGAGCCGATGGCTATTCTAGACCGGCAGGTTCGTCAGTTGAGGTCGAAGAGTTTTCCTTCTGCTCGTGTTCAGTGGAGAGGTCAGCCTCCTAAGGCATCGACCTGGGAGTCCAAATCCGATATGCAGAGCCGTTATGCCATCTTTCCCCAACTTAGGTACTTCCTTCTTATGTCCGTTCGAGGACGAACAATTGTTTTAGAGGTGGAGAATGTGATGACCCAAAAGATCATCACTTGCTTTTAAATTGAATTCTGTGTTTTGAGGCCTTGAAAACCTCACTTAGCTTCAGCTCGATTTGCGTGCGCAGTCCGGGCGCATAGCCGGAAAGCCTAAATATGAAAATCTAGAAAAAATGATAAGTTTTGACTATAAAATGAGTTAATTTGACTTCGGTCAATATTTTGGGTAAACAGACCAGGACCCGTGATGTAACAGTCCCTGAGGGTCCGTAGGAAAATATGGAACTTGGGCGCATGTACGGAATCGAATTCATAGGTCCCAAGCCCGAGAAATGAATTTTTAAAGAAAATTATTTTCTGAAATTGTTTAAAGGAATTTGAAATGGATTTTGATTAGAACATGTTGGTATCGGGCCCGTATTGTGGTTCCGGTGCCCGGTACAGATCTTATATGTGATTTAAGATAACTCTGTGATGTTTGGTAAGAACGGATGTTATTTGACGTGATTCAGACCTAAATTGCAAAATTTGATGTTTTAAGAAGTTTGAAATAATTAATTGATTTTGAGGTTTAATTCGATGTTAATGATGTCAATTTGGTGATTTGATCGCACGGATAAGTTCGTATGATGTTGTTGAGTTAGTACATATGTTTGGTTAGGAGCCCCGAGGGCTCGGGTGTGTTTCGGATGTGTTTCAGAAGATTTTGGACTTATGAAAAGTTGCAGGTTTTTGTTGTTCAGTGCCCAGGGATTTTGTTCTTTGCGCTCGTGTGGGACCACTCGCGAACACATAAGGCAAATTTCCCAGGAGCCAAACTTCTTCTTCGCGAACGTGAAGCTGGAGTCGCGAACGCGAGGCTAAGGAGGGATTCCCTTCGCGAACGCGATACAACTCACGCGAACGCGATGGCTAGTGAGCCTGGGCAGGGGGAGGGGCATTTTACCTACGCGAACGCGACCCATTGGACGCGAATGCGATGAGTAATTTCGCCCAGTTATTTTAAAAGAACAGAACAGTAGCCATTACGGGATTTCCACCAAAACTCATAACTTCTTCATCTTACCTCCAAATTGAGCGATTATTTAAAGGGGATTCCACCACCAATTCATAGGTATGTAATCTTAGACTCATTTTTCTTCAATTTTCATTAACACCCATTAGATTTCTAGGCTTAAATCATGTTATTAGGGGTAGAAAATTAGGAATTTGGGTAGAGTTATGGCTTTTGATTATTTGTCATTTAGACTTCATTTTGGGGTCAGATTTGAAAACAAATTATATATTCGGGCTCGTGGGTGAATGAGTAATCTGGTTTTTGTCCAAACCTCGTATTTTGACCAAGCGGGTCCCGGGTCAATTTTTGACTTTTTTGGAAGAATGATTAGAAAGCTATAATTAAGCATTGGAATTGGATTGTGTAGCATTTATTGATGTTATGAAGTCGATTATGTATATATACAATCGATTTGGAGCCGAATTCGAAAGAAAAAGCGGTGTTTGAGGCTTGAGTTGGCCGTGGAAGTTCGAGGTAAGTGTTCGGTCTAACCTTAGCTTGAGGGATTAGGAGTTGTGTCCTATTTGCTATTTGCTTCTTGTTGAGTATGACGTATAAGCATGGTGACGAGTATCTATACGTTGGTGTCGAGTATGACAGTAAGTCTTAAATTAATATTTGTTGTGTTCTTAAATGATACTACAGATACTTTAATTGGTTATTCTCGATATTGAGCAAGGATTTAGTTTATTTTCGTGGAAAGTAATTATGATTGAGTATTGGTGTTAGCTGATATGAGTAGGGATTGAGTTAAGATTGGTTATAGCTGATTCTCCCTTGCCGGGACATATATACTTTTATTGTCGAATTTATATTAAGGTATATAAATATATTGGATCGGGTTGCATGCCGCAACATTATTATATATTGGATTGGGTTGCACGCCGCAACAATGTTATATTAGATCAGATTGCATGCCGCAATAGTAATATAAATAGATCGGGTTGCATGCTGCAACAGTGTTAAATGATGAGGGATCGGGTTGCGCGCTGCAGCAGTGTTATTATTGTTTATTGTAGAATTTGAACTGTTCTCTCTCTTATCTCTCTTTAGCTTCGGTTGGATTGGATATGTTTCCCCTAGAATGTACCCCCGCCCATTTACATTGTTTATTCCTATTTATTTGTTAGTTGTATATTATATAACTGCACAGGTTTATCTGGAGTCTGGTCCTAGCCTCGTCACTACCTCACCGGGGTTAGGCCAGACACTTTCCAGCATATGAGGTCGGTCGTGCTGATGCTACACTCTGCACTATGTGCAGATACCGGAGTAGCATTTGGACAGTAGTACTTGGGGAGCCAGCCTTCAGTCCACTCAGAGATCCTGACGTAGTCCTATAGGCGTCTGCATGCCCGGCGTTCTCTTCTATCTATTTGTATGTTCTGTTTCTACTTGTTTCTGAGACAGACTGTATTTCCTTGTTCAGACATTTGTATGTAGTATTCATAGACAGTCCGTGGATATTGTGACACCGGTTTCTGGGTAGAGACACATGGTGGCATTTTTGTACTGATTTTGGTGTTATATTAGTCTAATTCTTCCGCTTAATTTCACCTTTCGCTATTAAATGTTGATCACCTATTAATTCAATTCGTTTAAAAGAGTTAAAAATGAAGGAGATTGAATTTTCTATATTTCATGGCTTGCCTAGCTTCTATGAGTAGGCGTCATCACGACTCCCGAGGGTGGAAAATCCGGGTCGTGACACGATAAGAGCCAAACAAGCCCAAAGAGCCCATTTTCATCAAGTCGTCTATCATCTGCCCAGGTTAAGCCCAGTCATTAAAATTGTGACAAACATGAAACAAACGACATCAAATATGAATACCAGTGGCTAACATAACTTTCAACATTTGTTGCAATTAACATCACATGAACATGAGTTCGAAACTCCTTATTAAATATGTCAACCCTCATATTGACAAACACCGTATGAATACATTAAACTGATTGATTTCACTAAAACCAAATAAGAGATTTACCACATAATTTAGATCTATATTGCAAAATAGAGCACTTCATGCTCAAAGAACACACAAACCTTCTGTATTTGAAAGTCAGAACTACTTCTCATCACTTTGAACTCATGCACTTAGTGAATCTAACAGTAAAATAATTTAATCCTTCAAACTAGATATCAAAAATGCAACAATAGCTCATATATTCGTGGGGATATTAAAACCAACATTTAACCAGCAACACTGTGAGAGGAGCTCCTTGTGGACTGATTGATTATCACTACTAGCCCAAAATAACTCAATCACAATCTTACAATATGAAGATACTACTCGTCTAAATCAGTCTGTGCTGCACAGTCCAAATTAAATACATGAAGAGAATAGTTCAACTCAATTAAAGCCAAAGTGACTAAACCAAACTCTAAACATAATCTCAAAACGTGCTGCTAAAAACATAAATGTAATACAACACATGTTAAACTAATTCAACGAAGAAAAAAAGAACATGAAGGATCTTCGAAAAAATGCAAAGCTTAACATTCAGCAAATTTCCACTCATCCATAACTGTTCAAGTTGATCACATAGCTTCAAAAGTGCATTTCATAAACTCATAGGGTCCAAAGGGTACCTGCTTACAGCAAAACCAACAAGGGAAATAAGCTTGAAGTGGGAGAAAACAAATAGCAAAGTATTAGCAGCACCAACACAGCTAAACAACCATGAGACTCAGCCCTTTTGAGCCATTTTAAACCCAAAATGAAACAAAATTTCTTGAGAAAATGTCAGGCTATGAAGACAAACAGCAGAAACTAAACCAATTTCTACTAAAATGCAAAGGATTTCAATGTTTTTAAACTCAGCCGTTTTTTTTCCAGTTTTTAGTATTGTAATTCTCTCTATCCTCCCATGAAAGAGAAGGAAACATGCCTTTTTATAGAACACTTTTAGGGCAGCAAAATTGGTTTCTAGTTTTACCCATTACCCCTTCTTAAATTTTCAATTTGTTCACTTTTACCTTGAATTTTGGTTTTGTTTGTTAGGTCAGTCCCTTTCCCCACCTTTCAGGAAGTTTCCAAATAAGTTATAAGAGATTCTCTTAATTAATATCCCTAAACTACCCTTGTAACCCTTGTTATTTACCCTCAGTAGATCACATGGGTCAAGTTGACCCGACAAATGACCCAAAACCTGGGCTTGCAAAACCCGGACTAACCCTTTCCTTTCCCTTTGGCCTTCTGAACCATGAAGCTCAATTCCAATTAAAAACTCAAAAGAAAACCCACACAAAAATACAGGCTAAAGGGGTTGCAAAACCAAAACTCTTTCGAAATGAAACCAAAAAATGAGAAGGAATTAATCATGAAAATCAAAACAAACGTAACTAACATGCTTTTAATTTAATCATGCCAACATAAAACTGATACAAAAACAGAAAAATAATAAAGAAAAAAGAAAGAGGAAACAGAAGGAGATAAAGACGGGAAATAGAACAAAGGAACGGGGAAAAATAAAAGAACGATAGTACCTAAAGAAGAATGTAGACGAGCATGGCTTGAAAAGATCTCTGATGTTTTCCGATTTGAAGCAAAAAAGGAGTATTAGTCGGCTTGTTCTTGTGAGAACAAACATCTAACACTCATTTCTGGCCAAAATCATCTTCAAAGACTGGAGAACAATGAACCTAGACCCTTTTCATGAGGAATCGAAGGCGGGAACGGATCTGGGATTCCATTTATGATCTGAAATTAAAGAAAAATGGAGGGGATTTAGGGGAAACTGACGGTGACTTAGTGTCTGATGGATTATGGGGAGTGTGTGATGAAGTTTTTGGGTTGATTGGAGCTTCAATCACTGGTGGAAATAGCGGAATTTGAAGGCAGCATTTAGGGTTCAAACGAAGGAGATGAGAGACTGAAAAGTCGAGTTCTAGGTTGAACTGGTATGTTCAGACAGTTTTAATCAAAAGAGGGGTAGTTCCCTGGCCATTGGATCAAGTCAAATAGAAGGCTAGGATTGATTTTGAAACCCTGAACTCCAAACGACGTCGTTTGGCTAACTAAATAGGGCAGACCGGGTTAGGGGTATGGGTCTGGGCTGGACTGAACGGGTTTTGGAGAAAATCACTTGGGTTGGTATGAATTGGCCCAAAATCAAAGCATTTCTTCATTTTCTTTCCTTTCTTTTTTCAATTTCAATTTTTCCTTTTCTTTTCAAATTAAATTAAAACCTAAATTAGCTCTTAAAACTAAATTAACTTACAAAATTGAGCTAAGTACCCCTCCACAATATTACACAATTAATTAACTCCTAAATTAAAAGAGGAATTACAAATTTAAAATTAAGCGGTTAAAAATGCAAAGTGAGTCATTTTTTGTGATTTTTTTATTTTTATCTAATAACTAATTTACCAATTAACCTAAAAATATAAAACTAAATCCTAAATGCAAATACAGAGTATTTTTTGTATTTTTATGACTTTATAAAAACTAAACATGCATAGACAAATGCGAATAATTAAGAAAACTCTACAAAATTACTAAAATGGCAAATAATTAAAAGAAAAATCTAATTCCTTGGGATTTTGTAGGAGTATTTCATATAGGGCAAAAACCACGTGCTCACAACAGCCTCTTGCAAAAATACAGGATAAGATTGTATACAATAAACTCTTGTGGTTCCGTCCTTCCCCGGACCCCACGCATAGCGGGAGCTTAGATCATTGTGCTGCCCTTTTATTTTTTACTCCTAATCAGATGATTTCTAGCCACACAAGTATCTATGATGTGTTTTAGATCACAAGTTCAAAAGTCTTCTTTTATTTCTTAAACTTCATGCTTTGTCAAACACCTTCACTAAATTGAGAGGGAGAAAATATAATGGTATGACCCAAAATCCCACCTTAGGAATTTGTGATGGCGCCTAGTCTCTAAAACTAGGTAAGCCTAACGCATGAAGAGATCAAACAGAGATAACCATCTTAGCTATATAAAACTTAAACTGATGTATAACGTAACTAAAACTGAACAAATGTTAAATATTTCCCAAAACCGGTAGTACAGAGTCACAAGCTCTACCAGCATACACTAAAATTTTTAAATACAATATGGTTCTGAAATGAAGATAAAATGCAGTAAAGATAATATCCGAAAGTGACTCTTAGGCATGCGAAGTCAAGCAGGTATACCTTGAAGTCTCCAGCCGCACAGACAAAACTCTCAAGAACCAACACAATCAGAAGTATCTGGATCTACACAAAAATGTGCATAAGCGTAGCATGAGTACACCACACTGGTACCCAGTAAGTATCAACACTATATAGTAATGACGAGGTAAGATGAGACACGCACTAGACATATAACTTGTGCTAGATATTAACATAAAGCTAGCAATGGCAAGAACATTAATGTAAGGCTAACAACGTAAAGATTATTAATATAAAACCAACAAAGGAATAATGGAAACACAACTGGAAACAAGATGTAAATGGTTAATAAAGTAGCAACATAATCAGCATAACACATATGATATATTAATGAACTCAAATTAGGAAAATAGATGACAATTCAAGTAACCAAATTATTCCCAACGCATGACTTACAACAAAGTTTACAAAGAGGAACCACACTTCGTAACCACAAATCTTAAGCCACAATCCTGAATCTTACATGCATGGCACCCCGTGCCCATATTATCATTCACTGTCGCACGACAAAGTCCACGTGCTACCATATACATTGTATCTATGTCAAATGATAAATAAAATATTTGATTGATTTATTTAAATTCAATAAGGCATAATAACATTCTTGAATAAAGTAAGGCGTCAAATGAGATAATGAGTTTATTTTAGAAAATAAATAAAGCAAAGTAAAATACAATTTGTACGAAATAGCGTATAAAATAAGTTTAGTTTAGAAATCAAGAAGGTAAAGTAAAATAGTATTTTTAAATTAAGAAAAACACCATATGACTTAACGGATTAAATATAGAATTTATTAAAGTAAGGCGTGATAACAATTTCACATAACGTAAAACATCAAATAGGGTAGTTTAATTTGAGAACCCAATTAAAGTAAAATGTGATAATCATTTAAAAATAATAAAGCACCGAGTGAGATAACGAGTTCTATCTTAAGAGTCACACAAAATAAAGCATGTTAATAATTCTTTTATTTAAAACTGATATGTTACCAACAACTCAACAGATTATGAGATAATGACTCAACGCAAGTAACACTACAAGAAAAACGACCTTCAAGGAAGGGAAATCTGGTCCCTAAAAGTTAAAATCTGGTCCTAAAAGGGTAAATTACCAAGGGAAAAGTCTGATCGTAACCCGTCGTAATAGCCTCCGTCGCTAAATGTCAATAACGACGGGTCTTAATACCTGGTCATTAAATCACTTTAGAGACGGACAAAAAAACCGATCGTGAAATACTTTTAGAGACCACATTTCTTGTCCCTAGTAGGCGATGAAAAAATATTTATTCCCGTCATGAAATCTTTGTAGTGACCAACTGTATCTGGTCCTAAATTATCTTTTAAAGACGGATAGAAAAACTGGTCGGAAAATGTAGAGACAGACTCTCCATACTCGAGATATGGTATGACTTCATCGCAATTCTTCAGTATGTATATATGTGGTTGTTCCAATTCATTTTCTTCAAGCTCACATTGTTCATTAGCTCCCAGAGTACTTCCATGTTGATAAAACATAAATAAACCTCCATTAGATTTTTTTTAAACCCCCGTCATAATTTCATTCAGGTCGATTGAATTTTGTGTCAATCGTATGTAGATACCGTGAACATAAGGTCATACATTCATTTGCAATGTAGCCCTCTGCAATAGAGCCTTCTGGACATGCCCTATTACCAATTAGAGGTTTCAAAAAATATAACCATCGTTCCACAGGATACATCCACCGATAATGAACAGGTCCAACAATCTTAGCTTCACTAGCTAAATGAATAGGCAAGTGCACCATGACATCGAAAAATGAAGGAGGGAAGACCTTTTCTAACTTGCAAGGCGTTATGGGAATTTACGCTTCAATTTGTTTCAAGTCATCAATCCTTAACTCCTTTGATCCAAGCACATTAAAGAATAAAGATAACTCAACAAGCGGTTCACACACTTCTTTGGACAACATACCACGAAGTGCAAGAGGAGTATATGTTGCAGAAGTACATGGCAATCATTACTTTTCAACCCAGATATCTTGTGATCTTTCAGGTTCACATATTGAGAAATATTAGATGAAAATCCATCAGGAACCTTTAAATTCTTTAGGAATTGGCATAATTTGTGCTTACTTTCAGGAGGCAATGTGTAGCATGCAGTTGAAACTTCAACTTTCTCCCCTCTTTGAATGGGGTGCAATTTCGGCCTAATATTCATGTCTTGCAAGTCTAATCGAGTTTTAATTGTATCCTTGGTCTTTCCTTTGACCTTCATGATTGTTCCCATAATATTATCACATATATTTTTTTCAATATGCATAACACCCAAATTATGTCGCAACAAGAGAGACTTCCAATATGGAAGTTCAAAAAAAATACTTTTCTAGTTCCAATTATCCTTTCGATTTTCATGCGATATCTTCTTCTCTTTCTTTGGATCCTTTGTTAATTGTATCCCTTCAAGATCTTGCACTTGATTAAGTATCTCAATACCAGAATGCATTTTTGGTGGGAGCCTTTTCTCTTTTGTACCATCAAATGAATCCGTGTCATTCCTCCATTTGTGGCTAAGAGGAAGGTAGCGTCGATGACCCATAAAGCATTGCTTCTTACTATTAGCTAATAGAATTGAGGAGGTGTCTTTATTGCAACACGGGCGTGCCAATATTCCTTTTGTACTCCATCCAGATAAATTTCCATAGGCTGGAAAGTCATTGATGGTCCATACCAAAGAAGCATGCAGCTTAAAATTCTATGTAGATGATGCATCAAATGTCTCAATGCCAACTTCCTACAAATCCTTCAATTCCTCTATTAAAGGTTGAAGATATGTATCAATAGCATTACCTGGACTATCTGGACCTGGAATAAGCATTGACAAAATAAAATTTTCTTGTTTCATACACAACCAAGGTGGTAAATTATAAGGAATAAGAACCACAGACCAAATGCTATATGAGGTTTTTGAATTCCCGAAATGGCTGAAATCCATCACTAGCAAATCCAAGTTGGATATTACGAGGCTCAGCCGCAAATGAAGGATGAAGTTCATCAAACGCCTTCCACGCCATTGAATCAACTAGGTGCCTCATTATTCCATCATCAACTCTTTTATCCGTATGCCATGTCATTAAACTAGATGTCTTTGTAGACATAAACAACCTTTGAAGCCTAGGTTTTAATGGAAAATAGCGTAAAGTCTTTGCTGCTATCTTCTTACCTTTTTTATTCCTTGTTTCCCGGCTATGTCTATCTATTTTCCATCTAAACACACCACAAACTTTGCAAGAATCAAGTAAGCTATCATCCTTCCAGTATAATATGCAATCATTAGTACAAGCATCAATTTTGTTGTAGGAAAGGCCAAGGTCTTGTATTATCTTCTTTGCCTCATAATATGATTTTGGCAAATTGGTGCCATCAGGTAACAACTCCTCTTTTAACATTTTCAATAACATTGTAAATGACTCATTACTCCAATAACCCATGCTTTTGATGTAAAGCAATTTAATCAAAGAGAAAAGCTTTGAAGCTTTTGAATTTTGGTACAGTGGCTGCTCGAAATCCTTTAATAGCCTGTAAAATCTTTTTGCTTCAATATTTGGTTCCTCCTCAATTAAATTATCATAATCAGTGTGCACGGTTCTTCCATAAATATTAGGATACATATCTCTCAACAGTTCTTATACTTCGTCTTCACTTTCATATTCTTCTAGTTCATCACCATCT